TATCTACTATATATATACATAGATATATATGTTTACATGTTTACACACACGCACATATATATATATATATATATATAATATAAGTGCATACACAATGGAGTAAATAGTGAACGTACACAAAGGAACGAACAGATAGTTAGATACATCACAATGATGTAGAGCTGACAATAACATCAGTCATGTTAACAGTGTGCGATCGTATAAGGTCAAACACTGGAAAGGGCAGCAGATATAACTGGTATGTTCGCGTACACAGTTCAAGCAGTATCAGAAGATGCATATTTCATACAAACATATCTGCTATAAATAGCGTACAACACTATCGCTTGCATATACATAAATTCAGAACTACATAGTATCCAAGTGTTGCCAACCGACACATGTAAGACCTGTCACTCAGCAAGAGCACATCGTTCCATTCGTTAACAAAAATTTATCGCTACAGTGACATCAAAAAAGAGTTTACAAAAACTCATACATAGATGTATACATGTCTCAAATTCAACAACAATCCTGTTTCTAAGGGAATACCATCAGTATACGCAGATACCACAGGTTGACAAACTCGACAAACTTAAGCGCAAAAAGAGTAGCATGGCACTAGCTTTCCTATCTGTCGATATACAGCTTACTTTCAATATAGTGTCCAACGTATTTCTGCACCGCTTGATTAGTCGTGACGGACATGGTTTAAGATTCAAGCTGAGGGTGTGCTCAAAATCCTCACAAGTATATCTGACTCTCTGTCACGCCTATTGGCTAACTAGATGAGATAATCGGTAGTGATGTCCAGTACAGTTCAACTGGTTAACGGTGAAATGCCGATTTTCGAGCGTGTATAATGACTGGTGCTAATATTGTATGAATAATAATGTTGTATGAACAGTATTATTTTTGTATGACTTCCACTGCTTTTGTATATGAAGAAACAGAGGTAGATCACCACTGAAAAGGCTATATGTACTGTTTGATACTGTGCACTACTTGAGATCTCAGATCCATTCAAGAAAGCTGAATATGTCGACTCAACAACGGATAAGATATCGTTGTGCTATGTATATCGATACACTAGGAAAAATAGACCGAAACCACTTTGATTAGAAATCAAAGCATGTACACAATGATTGGCTTCGGTCGCTTAAAAGTATAACAGTACATCGCAAATCTCTACACCATCGCGTGGATTTATATACATACGAACTGAACAATCACGAGCTTGTTCCCGAGTCCCGACCTTGCCGTCTCTTGCACACGGAAACAGATAGCCTCTAAAGGCTCAACTCTAAAGGCTCAACGGCCTACAGAGAGTCTTCGACACATCTATGGTATTGTAGACTTTCTTACCCAACATTGAACACAGTTCTTGAATTTCTTGACAACTAAAGAGGACCAAAAGCTCCTTGGGTTTAGGGTAGAGAAGATATGGCGTGATATGATTGGCCTACGTCTAACTATATTTTATTTTTCACAACAAATGTATAAAAATATATTTTTGCTTTTTCTGACGGGTGTTCGTGATTGATTTTATCACGATCGTCTCTGGAGTCTGGACTCAGGTCACACCGTCACATTGTGTATTTACTGTGTAGTGTGACCGTGACCTGTATCCGACTACTCGTAGGCTGTGACCCGTGGGCCGTGGGGGCTGGACTTGCTGGAGTGGTGAGCAGGCGAGGAGACTGCGTAGAGTGTATTTAGAACCGTAGACTGTAGAGTGAGTGTAGACTGTGGTAGAGTAGAGCCACTGGAGTGTGGAGTGTGGACTGTGGACTGTGTTTGGCCTACGGAGTCTTCAAGTGTGAAGTGTGAATTGTGAAACTCGAACTCTCCATTTTTAAAAACATATTGTTTATATATTTGGGGGGGGGGGATTGTTACCCTACCTCTACTACTACGTTACGTACGTAAAACGTAAACTAACTTAAACTTAAACTAACTTACTTATAATAATATATATACTACTACTACTAACTAACGTAACGTAACGTTAACGTTTAA